AAAAGAACAGAATAACAGACATCTGTTAACACTCGCACATGGTAGACGATCATCTGTTTTTAGCTTTCTCACCAGGCTCCAGATGTTTGAGGATGCCCCTCTTTGCCAGGCGGCTCTGCAGCGCCACAGGGAGCGGCATCGTGGGTTGCTGACCAGTCCTAGGAATCAACCGAGAGTATGAAGGGCAGATCCGATAAACATTTCAGTGAGGATATCGAGTAACCATGCACCACACTACAGCGTGGGTGACCCCGACCTACCTAAGTGCACCAGTAGCTGGAAGGACAGAACAAAAATGAGTGCTAAAAGATGAAAGCGAACCGGGTGGCGGTGGCGCACGCCTTTATTCCCAGCACTCGGGAGGCAGAGCCAGGCGGATTTCGGTGAGTTCCAGGCAGATCTACAAAGCGAGATTCAGGACAGGCACCAAAGCTACACAGAGAAACCCTATCTTGAAAATCAAAAGAAAAAAAAAAAGATGAAGGCGATACGTGACAGAATGGTCCGGACTACTACCACCATAACTCACTGACGGGGGCACCGGGGACCGGATACACAGAAGACCAAGTTCCTCTCCAGGCCAAGGCTCCACCAATCACCAGAGGGATCAAGTGTATCACACCCGCAACCCAGAAATGGGATCACCCAACGTTCGTCTAAGTCAGCACAGTGGGAGGAACCAAGGCGCTGGGATAGGGGTGTCCAGATGCCAACACCCTCGGAGGCTTTCAAAAAAAGCCTCCATCCCGGCGTTCCCAGCAGAGCTATACAGACGATCGAAGTCTGTGACCCTGGCCCCCTCTCCCTCTTTGTCACTATGCTTACCAATCTCGAAGGGATCTTCCTTTAAAACACAAAACGCTCCCCACACGCCCCAGACGCAGTTAACTGGTCGACTCCAGGGCTTGAAGTGAACGGATGTGGCCAGCCGGACTAGCCAATAAGAACGCGCCTCTGGCCTTACGTAAGCAAGGGAAACCAATTGTTTCCTTGGCCTGCGTACGACGCCCCCGTGCTTGTGGGCGTTCCCGAGGGGGGGAGTGGCTCGCCCGTACGACTGACTGCTCCAGGCCAGACGCTGGCGCCATGGAGGAGTACGCTCGCGAACCTTGGTACGGCCATGGGCACAGGCTTCGGGACAGTCCCTGCGACGCCCAGGCCAGCGACGGGAGGCGGGCGGGGAAGGCAAGGCTACATTGCCAAGTCCCTGACGCGGGAGGCTTAGAAACTTCTCTGCCTGAGCGCGTCCGCCATGGCTCCTCCCACTCGGACTTCGTTAAAAAGCGCCCCAGTGGAGTTGTCCCTGGAGGTGCGCTGTGGGACGATCCACCCCACTGTTCCCCTGACTGTTCTCCCAGACCCCTTTTGTGAGCCAAGAGAGAAACGCTGGGCAGATCCATTCTTGCAGCGGGGGAGCAGAGGCGTGGAGCCAAAACCCACAGGGTTTCCTCGCGTGCCTTTTCCCAGACTGGTGTTGGACTCCGGATAGGGCATGTATGAACTCACTGTGGGCTGAGAGGTGGGGGCCCGAGCTTCCTCACGGTCTTTTGGGTTTTCCGATTTAGATTTTTAAAATGACACTGTACAGGGCTTCCTTGGACATGCTCCCCCCCCCCCCTTAGTCAGAGAACAGAGTGTCACCCTGCTCTGCTTTACTTAATGCTAGCTAGTTAACACTGTTGAAACCTGACAACTCTTTGTACCGGTGAATCCGTTTGATTTTTCTTTTCTTTCTTTCTTTTTTTTTTTTTCGAGACAGGGTTTCTCTGTGTAGCTTTGCGCCTTTCCTGGAGCTCACTTGGTAGCCCAGGCTGGTCTTGAACTCACAGAGATCCGCCTGCCTCTGCCTCCCGAGTGCTGGGATTAAAGGTGTGCACCACCACCGCCCGGCCCGTTTGATTTTTGATAGCATCAAAACAGTTTGATTGATGCTTGGTTGTAATCAAGAGTACTATTTTGCCAGTAATAAGCCCAGCATTTGGAAGGCTATGTAGTGAGACACCTCCCCTATTCTCAGAAAGAAAAGAAAAAAAAGTACTACTTTCCCACTTTTGCGCCACAGGTAGATTTACAGATGTTTTGGGTATTGTTTATTTGTTTTGAGACAGAATCTTACTATATAGCCCTGGCTAGCCTGGAACCCTGAGTGAACTAGACTGACCTCACACGGATCCACCTGCCTCTGCCTTTGGGGCATAAATTCTCTCTCTCTCTCTCTCTCTCTCTCTCTCTCTCTCTCTCTCTCTCTCTCCCTCTCTCCCTCTCTCCCTC